ATCAAACCAAAAGAAAAGTCCAGTTGCCATGACTCAACCTCCAGAAAAAACGGTGAACAGAGTGAACAGCCAAACACTGACTTGGGCTCAAGTCTTGCTGCTGCTATGCCTTGGCACTACAATTTGCTTCCTAAGTCATTAGAAAGTCACTAGAATGTGATTAATTAAGAGATTACTTAAAGTTTAAATCACTTGCAAAGTGATTTTAATCAATGAAGGTAATTTAAACATACTTGCTTATTTTTAAAAAACAATTTTAATTTGCAGATATCTATACATATATTACTGTAATAGGAATTTTTTAAAAAAATTAAAGCAGACTTTTCTTTAACAAACAGCTCAATTAAGATACACGTCTCTGTCTAACCAGTCTATTTTAGCACACATGAAAGAGCATTGAAGCCACCTATTCTCTTTCTTCTTCTTATCTTATCTTAAATCTGCAACCATCAGATTTATAATGCACATTAAACCACAATTCTCTATTTCTTTCTCTAACAGTGAATTATTGTTTAATTTAGCCAGAATTAGTGGACCAGAAAAAGCAAGAAGTGAGAAGAAAATGAAATGCATGGGTCAGCTCATGTTCCCAGATAGCTGAACCATGGTTTAGGGAGCCAGAAAAGTACATTCAAATCAGTCCAGTGAATGTCAGTTTTTAGTGCTCCTTTTACTGCGTAAATCAGCACAGTAAACTCTTGATTTAATGGACTAATAGAAACAAGAAAGTCTGCTAGATCTGAATCTCTGTTAAATCTGAATGCATTATGCATGTATAAATGGTGAATAGGATTTTATGCATGATAAAAGGCAAATGGATTTTGAGTTATTTGTAATATGCATTTATATTAATTTAATCAATTAAAATGCAATGAAATCAAGATTCTTTATTAATATCTAATGTAGCTTGTTCATTAAAGTTACTTGATAAATATTGAGATATTTGTTTTAATTTGAACAATTTTGAATGAAATTCTTAGAAAACCTTCTAGTTCATCATCTGCGAATGACAGGAGTGGAAGTCTATTACATTTGGAGAAAGCTATTCTAAACTTAAGCAAATAAAATTTCTCAAACTGAAAATTAATAAGTATTCCCCTTCTCTGTGTTAATGCTAGAAACATGATGTTTTTATCTTCCTATGACAAATACAACTTTTTTATCCTCTTTGACTATACACTTTCATGTAGATTTTTCTTTGGAGTGACTAATCTTGTCGCCTTTAAATTTCTATATTTGATATTTTTCTGTTCTGTATTGCAGAGATATGTAGTGGGCATCAGACTGACCCAAAGACATATGTCTTGGCACCCTCCAGTTTTTCTGTCCAGTCTAATTATAGGGCTCGTTGCCATAGAGACCACTTGGTTCTATCTTTTAAACAGCTAGTTAAAACTTATCCTTGCAGGAGTAGGCTTGGCATCCCTCATGCAGAAGGATATTTTGAAATCTCCTGGGAGGACCACGTTGATCATAAAGTTCCATTCTTACAGTTTTCTTGAGCATTTATTTCTACATTGATCTCTGATAATGCTGAAAAAACTATTAGACAAAGGATTTGAGACATGAATCTTCTAAAGACAGAGACTGGGACTCCCAGTCATTTATATGACGGTGTTTCTAACATTTGTACCCCTGCCTCTTATCCCTTTCATAAAATTAACTGTAGTATCTTGTGCCTTGGCTCAGTACAATACACTGCTTCTACAAATACTGTGAACAGAGTGAATAATCCCACTGAAAACTGGTTGTGCCAGTGTGGGTGAGGAGATGTAGAAGTGATTACCTATGTTTTCCTCCTCTCTCCTCTTTATAAAGAGATACATGCAATATGAATTATCAACCAGGCAGGGATCTTCCATCTTATACTTTTTACCTTTGATAAGGCCAAAAATCAAGTATTTTCTTTAGTACCACTAAATGTTTTGCTTTATTCTGTTTCATGCATGATAAGTGCTCAAAAGTTAATTAATGCCCAAGTAGATTTTAAACCAAACTTTTATTTTATCTCTGTAATTGTAAAATTCTATTTTTTGAACTTGCATCAGTCTCTGTTGCTGTTCTTTTTTACTTTAATAAACTTATACTTTAAAAAAATTATTTTAATTTTAAAAATTGAAAGCATCTGCAAAGTGAAATGGCAGGGTTTCATCCTCATTTTTATTTCTAAAAATGTTTTAGGCTCCATATAGGTCTCATCAATATCTTTAGAAATAGAAGAAGGCTGAGCCTCACTTATTTATTTGGAAATTTGTCCACCTCCCATATAAATGTAATAATTAAATTGAGATTGGTAGAAAGCATTGGGGAAGCAGCTAAAGACTTAATGGGCAGTATTCAGTTTGTCTTCTGACAAACATATTTCATCATTGAGCGTGTAGTTTATCATAGCTGTCATTTTGTGAATAGTCAACAATCTGATGGTAAGAGCAGCCACGATATGCTCTCAACACTCTGAATGTGTCTACCAATACAAAATGATTGCCCATTTCTCAACTGGCTATAAAATTGATGCCATACACTAGTTGTTTTCTATTCTAGTGTAGTAGTGAAGGTTTTAGACTGGGGGTAAGCTTACATTCCCCATGGATGACTTTGGGCCATTCATTCTATCTCACTCTAATGTAGCCCACAGGCCCATTGTATGGATAAAATAAGAGGTAACTGCTGCTCTCATATATACTAACTTGACCTCCTCTCCAAACAAATTATGGGATATACGTGCAGTTAAAAAAGCATTCCAGTTATCTTCTGCTTTGGCTACTTCAGCCTATTCAATAACCTTGCAATTAATCATCCCTTGTAACTTGTATCTCTCTTTGTTAAGGATCTCATCAATTCTATCCAAATACCATTTTCTTGATCTTCCTTTTCCCCTTCCTTTTCCTCTCATCGCAGTCACTTGTTGTATATTTGTTTTTTGATCCTGGCCTTATGTATTTTCTAGACATGACCAGACCACTCAACATGCTTCTTTAGTACTTGTCACTCATTCTTGTATTTAATCTACATTCCTTCAGGATCCATTCACTCTTGATCCTTGACACACACTAAAAATCCCCATTCCAACTGCCTAATATTTTAAGTTTCTCCTGGCATGCCCAACTCTTTCTTTCATATAACGAAGTATGAAGAAGCATACACTTACATATCTCTACCTTTACTTTTTAAGGCATACATTCATCCTTCAGAAGAGACTACATGCTATCCACTTCTAGCATTTGCACATCTTAAAACTTCTACATCTACTGTGGCTTAGCCTACTATTTGAATCCAAGCAAAACAAATTTCATCTTTTTGCTACAGGATGCTAAAATTGTTAATTATGATAGAAATTGTTGTTAATATTTGTATTTCTGCATGACTTCCTTGTTTAAGACTTTCTTAGCCAAACACAGAATAGCATGTGTATTCTTTGTTCAATATTTATTATTTAGTTCATTTGATTTACTGTCAAAGCCCCCAAAAAGCTAACTCAGAGTCATTTTTGTATATAGCAAATAATAATAAATGGAATTGAGCACAAAGAATAAAGTAGCTTATCAATAGAGGAAGAGAAGCCAGGAAAAGAATATTCCCTAAGGCTATTACAAATTACCAAATGTTTTTGTTGGGGCTTGTATAAATCTCTGCTTCCTTCACAATTGTAAAGATAAGGCCCCTGTCTGCTTTGTTTTGATGTATTTAATGGTGCAACATACAACTCATTCAGAAAACTTCAGAGAATAATTAATTTCAGCAACACTGCTGTAGCGTTCGTCAAAGGAAAGGTTACATCTTTGACAAGGCCTGTTTTCTAGTCTTCAGTAAATTGAGTTTTAAAATAATGCCTGTAAACGTGTGACAATAAACTTTAGAATACCTTTCCGTATTCATTATAGAACTGATGAAAGCCCGTACATAAAAATATTAGCCATATGTGCTTTAAAGCTGAAAATAGCTTATGACTTTATAATCAATTATTTGGTGTCATTTCTTGCCCTGCAGTACTGGGTACCAATGTATTTATTATTCACCTGAAAACACCGCCAAGGCAAGAGAAGTTCTCAGTAGCATCAATCAACTGCAGCCTCTCATATCAAGCCATGCAGACATGCTACTTAATTCAGCAAGACAGCAATCACCAGAAAGCTTGACGAATTCCTTAAAGATGCTTTCAGAAACTGTAAGTTTCAAACATAATCCCTACTGTGGAAACTAGAATGATCAAATTCCTAGATATTGCTGTGGTCTGCAGAATCTGTCTTCCTCTGTATGAAGAAATGTTGAATGGTTATAAGCTTCAAATGATTACCAGAGGAAAAGAGTTTTCTTTTCTGCCCCTTTTCGGATTGTTATCAAGCAATTTTGTGGATATTTAACTTGATGCCTTTCATATAAAACAGAAAAGTCTGTATCATATTGCATTTAAACTAGCAATGGACTAAGAATAAATCAGTACTATTTTTGAAGTATGAGAACTCTAATTTTTCTATACATAACTATTAGTATATTCTTCCTGCTTCTTGATAATTTATGTATTTTATTTGTATTGATGTATTGATGCCTGATGTATTGTAACATAACCATAAAAAAGGAAAATCAATTTGTGCTAGAGAAACAGCCCTAAAAACTCTTCTTATAATTCTGAGGTACCCCATATTGTTAAGTACTTTGCATATCCATATATTTTGTTTTAAACAAATCCTGGCCTTTTCTGCTTTATCCATTAAATGGAATTTGACATTTTGAAATTCAGCCAGCTTTTGGTCTATTGATCTTTGGAGCAAGGAAAAGACAAATGCAGAGCCTCTAGTAAATTCCTCTGCCAGTGACTTATAATGATGTGCACCATATTTTAATGCTATGATATTATAAAATCGCATTTAAGATAATAAAAATCACTTAGACTAAGCAGCCATTGATAATCTCATGCCCATTCTCCATTCATTTGTATAGTCCCCTCTTAAACTATTTGGCAACCATCACATCTGATGGTATGTGGTTTTTAAAAGTTTAATTATGTGTTATGTAAAGGAATACTTCCTTTTATTAGTTATGAATGCTTCCAGATTTTCAGTGAAGAATTCTGAATTCTAACATAGTAAGATAAGGAAGAAAAATTTCCTATTTATATTTTCCACATCAACCATTACTTTATATACTTTTAATATATTCTCCCACTCATATTTTCGCTATGATTAATGGTTCAATTTATGTTAAATTTAACTGTATGCTAAAAGCCCCCAATCAGTATAGTTTTAATTTTTTTCGGGAAGCTTCTCAAGGATCTTAATGATTTTGGTTGCTGCTTCCTCCAATTTATCATGCTCTACAATAACCTTTTAATATTTTTGAGATGTAGCGGCCAGAACTATGCGCTGTAGTTCAAATGCAGTCTTGTTATGCATTTGGGCATTACTTTTTTCCCGGTTTTATTTTCGATTTAGCTCCTTATGATTCTAAATATGTAATTTGCCTCTTTTTGACAATGACCACACAAAAGATATTTTTATTGATTCCATAGCACAAAACTATTAAAAGTAAGCCCCACCGAGTTTGATACTGTTGACCCCTATGTAAAAATAGAGACTTTAGCCTTATGCATTTGGGTTGTACGAGCTTTGAAAAAAGATTTGGAAAAAGTACTTTGGACCTTATGTAAGATCAGCCCTGCATATTTCATATTTCTGGCTTCTGTGTGAGTGTGAAAAAAAAGTTGCAGTTGCTTTAGGAGGTTGATATTAAAGTAAATACAACTGCAAAGGCAGACACAACTTTTTTTCCCTGTCTGAACAAAACTACTAATGAATAGCAGCGATGTCCTGTGCTGATGAGAGAGCTAAAGCACTTCTAAATCATGTTTTGAAGCATGAATAGCCCCAATTTTCATACATAAACAGAAATTCACATAGATTAAAATTAACAGCAGAATGACCAGATTATTTTTATTTTTATTATGCTAAACTATGTTTAAACTATACTGAACTTGCTTACCTGTGGAATAAAGCACAGTGGCTTTCTTCACATATCTCACTAAGTTTAAAACCATGATTTATAAACCATAATGACAGGATTCACACAGCATGTATCCAAATTCAACAAACTCTATAGTGCTTAGCATATCATGTGAGCCAGAACAGTGTATTTTATTATCTCAGTTTTGAGACTGCATTACTGCATTTTGCTGACTGCACACTCATCTTAATTTTAGACAGAGTTATTTGTGCATGCCTTTAAGGATCAGCTTATCAGAAGTGCCCTTTTAGCTTTATACACAGCCCGCCCTGGTTGTGTCTTAAAAAAACCAACTTTGCCAAGGAATAGCACTGAAGAAAGTAGCGAACAGAAAAATCAGGATCATCCATCGCAGATTAAGAGACAAGATTCTATACCTCATCACTCGGAATATGATGAGGAGGAGTGGGTAAGTAACCTCAAAATTCCATCCTTTACCCTCACATTGTGTTTATTCAGTTGTAAATTATCAGTACAGTGGTACCTCAGGATACGAACGCCTCTACTAACGAACTTTTCGGGTTACGACCAG